ATAAGTCATAAGTTTGGAAGATTAAATCTGGAATAAATTTAATACATGTGTTTATAGTGACCAAAGTGTTCTGAATCCCCACAACATGAAGGTCATATTTCTTATTTTTATTCACTGTAGTTTATTTACCTGGAAAGTCCTTTCAAGCAAAATATTAATTGCATTTCATTATACACTGATAATATCATCTTTTTACTTTAAAAAATCTATTGTGTAGGAATGGGACTGGAAGAAAATATGGTTCATTCAGATAAAATGGATCCAGACTTTAAATGAAATAGATTGTATTTGAGTAAGAACTATTTGAGTTCCCTGCATGGTAAGTATTTTTTTCTCTTCCTCAAACATGGCAAGAAGTAACTGTACTCTTAGGCTGAGTCATTTTGAAATACATGGTCAATTTGTCTTACTTTAGCTAATTTAGTGCCTTAGTCCTTTCCCTTTGGTTTAAAAGTGAGGACCAGAGTTTTGTTGGGGTACAGTCTTATCTCTCCACACAAAAGCTATTATTCTGTTTGAATGGCTATAGAACTTTGGAGTAGTCCATTTCTATTCCTAAGACCATTTAGTTGTCAAATCTCAGACCATTAACAAAAATGTATCTTTTTAATGGTAAATTTTAAAGGAACCAGGTTAACTTAGGTTTCCTAATATAATTACCATACATAATTTAAATCAATTAATTAATTAACCAAATTACTTTACTTATATACTGAGGTTTGAAAATGTAAGCACAATATCTGTGAAATTTGCAGTAATTATAATTTTTTCTCTTTTCCTTTATAAGAAAGAATACTTCCTTGTGAGGCATTCCTGTCCACCTCCCACCCCATTGGGTGATGGAAACTTGATATTCCAATTAGAGGTGTTCCAATTTCTGCCAATTTAAAACAGCACTTTTTACTTGTCTTTTAAGCTGTGTCCTTTTGTATACGTATTCAACCAAACTGAAGTTTCACATTTCTTACCAGAACTGTTTTTTTTTTTTTTTTTCCCCAGGGATATACCTCCTCCCTTCCAGTTCAGCAAACTGTATACTCTTGGGATAGGGGTCCACGGTCTATATGTGAGTACTTGGCCTTGATCCTCAGAGGCCTCTAAGTATGTGCCTTGTGCTCTTTGGCCACCGGGCAAACTGCTGGCATCTGACCACCACCAGTTAAGGTGTAAATTATCCTGCCTGCTCTGTTTTAGCCTGTTTTTCCTGAACCTCTGGAGAAAAATCTACAATTAGTGCAATTCACAGTTTGGGGGTTTTTTCCTTGGCTTATTCTGGGGCTATTGGTCTCTCGGTGCCACTTCCCCACATTTGGCTCCATGTTGGCTCTCACTACAAACCCAAGTCTCAGACACATAATTCACCTAGCCACTGGTCAGGCTGCCTAACCCTCAGCCTCTGGTATTTTGAAGAACTCCTTTCTCACTCAACAAAACTCAGCTATCTAAACTGTTGCTTTACTACTAAATATAAGAACCTCTAAATGTAAGTCTAAATATAAGAACATCTTCGGGGCTTAAGTAATGACTTCTTGGTTTCAGACTCCATCTGTCTTTTTCCTAAAGTGCTGAGACTCATTTAATCAGTGAAGAGGCACAGGAAATTGTGATTTAAGGGGAAAGAGAAAACTTGATTGAAATCAGAAAACATGACAAAACAACTAAAAAATCAAAAGAAAATATTTTTAAAAAATCTTTAGAGCGTATCATTGACATAGCAATAAAGCAAAGTATACTAAGGACCCAGAGAAGTAAACAGAGTGCTGAAACTGGATTTTATTTTGAGGAAATTTGCCAAAACCCAATGAACTTGAGTTTCTGTTTCCATGGTCTTGCAGTGTAAGGACACAGGAGGCAAATTTCAGGGCCTAGCCAGGGTGGGAGATCTAACAGAAAATTCCCCTCATAAAACAAGAGTCACAGGCTAAATTTCATTGAAAAGGCAAGCCAGAAATAATACCCTCCAGGTGGCTGCAAGTAAACTAGATTGTCTCAAACATTTTCTCTTACAGAAGAGAAAAATAATCTTCATGGAGAATCAAAATACAGGCTGACCCTCACTTGTAGTTTAAAATACATAAATAAAGAGGAAGAGAAAATTAATTATCTGAAAGAAATATGCCTGAAAACATGATGCAAAAATGTACTGTAAAGAGACAAAGACATGAAAAATATGAAAGAGAGATTAAGAGACATGGAGGTCAAAATAAAAAGCTCTAGCTTCCATGTAATCAGGGTTTTCTGTAAAGAATGGAATGAGGGGATATAAAGAGAGAATATTTGATAATGGGTGATACATTTCCAGAAATTCTGCATGATACCAATCCACAGAGTCTGGAACCCGAAGCAGGAACAATAAAATGAAATTCTCTCTCAGACATTTTGTGGTGAAACTGAAAAATACCAAAGGAAAGGAAAGATGCTAAAAGCAGTCAGAGAAAAGAGAGATTGCCTTCAAAGGAATAACATTTAGAATGATAGATGACTGCTGGATAGCAACAATAGAAGGTAGAAGTCAGTGATGACATCTTCCATTTGCTAATGAAAATACCTTATATAAAGGAGGGCAAAAAGACATTTTTATATAAGTAAAAACTGAAAGAGTTTGCTACCAATAACTAAAAGAAAGGTATATGAGGTTGAAGGAAAGTAATCACAGGTGGAAGAACTGAGATGTAAGCAGGAATTATAACAAGAAAGAGGAAAAAACGGGGTTAAATCTAAATAAATATTTGCTACCTATAATGATTTAATATTTTGTGGAAGTTTTTTAAAAAAATAAAATTCCTAATGTCTTGAGGAACCTCCATGCTGTTTTCCAGAGTGGCTTTACCAGCTTGCATTCCCACCAACAGTGTAAGAGGGTTCCCCTTTCTCCACATCCTCGCCAACATTTGTTGTTTCCTGTCTTGTTAATTTTTGCCATTCTCACTGGTGTAAGGTGGTATCTCATTGGGTTTTTGATTTGTATTTCCCTGATGGCTAGTGATGTTGAACATTTTTTCATGTGTCTGTCAGCCATCTGTATGTCTTCTTTGGAGAAGTGTCTGTTCATGTCTTCTGCCCATTTTTTGACTGGATTATTTGTTTTTTTGGGTGTTGAGTTTGAGAAGTTCTTTATAGATGGGATACCAGGCCTTTATCTGTAATGTCATTTGCAAATATCTTCTCCCATTCTGTTGATTGCCTCTTAGTTTTGTTGACTGTTTCCTTTGCTGTGCAGAAGCTTTTTATCTTGATGAAGTCCCAAAAGTTCATTTTTGTTTTGTTTCCCTTGCCTTTGGAGACGTGTCTTGAAAGAGATCGCTGTGGCCAATGTCAAAGAGATTACTGCCTATGTTCTCCTTTAGGATTCTGATGGATTCCTGTCTCACATTTAGGTCTTTCATTCATTTTGAGTTTATCTTTGTGTATGGTGTAAGAGAATGGTCCAGTTTTATTTTTCTGCATGTGGCTGTCCAATATTCCCAGCACCATTTATCGAAGAGATGGTCTTTTTTTCCGTTGGATATTCTTTCCTGCTTTTTTGAAGATTAGTTAACCATAGAGTTGAGGGTCCATTTCTAGGGTCTCTATTCTGTCCCACTGATCTATGTGTCTGTTTTTGTGCCAAGATGCCTTTCAACAGATGAATGGATAAAGAAGATGTGGCTCATATATACAATGGAATAATAGTCATCAGAAAGGATGAATACCCACCATTTGCATCAACATGGATGGAACTGGAGGGAATTATGCTAAGTGAATAAGTCAAGCAGAGAAAGACAATTACCATATGGTTTCACTCATATGTGGAATATAAGGAATAGCACGGAGGACCATAGGGGAAGGGAGAGAAAACTGAATGGGGAGAAATCAGAAAGGGAGACAGACCATGAGAGACTCTGGACTCCAGGAACAAAACTGAGGGTTACAGAAGGGAGGGGGTTAGGGGAATGGGGTAGCCGGGTGATGGGTATTAAGGAGGGCATGTGTGGTAATGAGCACTGGGTGTTATATGCAAACAATGAATCATGGAACACTATATCAAAAACTAATGATGTAATGTATGGTGATTAACATAACATAATAAAATTTAAAAAACTAATGATGTACTATATGCTGGCTAATTGAACATAATAAAAATAAATAAATAAATATAAAAAGATAATATTCGTGACAATAATAGCACATGTTACAAATTGTGTGATTGAAGTTAAGGTTTTCTAATGTTCTTGATTATTTGGGAGAAGAGTAAATACATTTGTTAACTTTAGATTTTGATCATTTACATATGCAAGCTGAAACATTCTGAGTAATAACAAAAAAGAATGGAAATGGAGTGTACAATTTCCAAACTAGTAGAGAGGAAAATGTAATGAGAAAAAAAAATCAATCTAAAAGAACATAAGAATGGAGAAAAAATGAAACACAGGAAAGGCAGGACAAATAGAAAGCAAATAATAATCCAAATATATTTGTTATGGCAATAAAAGACAAGACCAAATCCTTTAGTTTAGAGATAAAGTTTGTCAGATAATTGTTTTTATATTAACTATATGCTGATTATTAGAGACCCTCCTAATGAAGAATATAAAAATACAGAAAGTAAAAGGATGGATAGAAGATATATTAAGCAAATAACAATAATAATAATAATTAGCTGGGCTATTTCTATTAATATTGCATAATTGAGATTTTTTCCAAGAGCTAGAAGAGTCTACATAATGATAAGTTTCAATTCACTAGGGAAAAATAATATTTCTAAATATGTATGTGTCTAAGAACTAAATTTCAAAATACATAAAGTAAAATTTGACAGGCTACAAGAAGAAATAAGTTCATTTTCATAATGAAAGACTTAAACACATCTTTCTAATGAATTGGTACAAAAGCAGAATTAATTGATCTCTTGAACCTAACAACTATAATTTTAAAAGATTCACGGAAATTTTCAGAAAATTGAGCACATACCGGCCTAAAAGGAAACCTCAACAACCACCTCTTACACTAAAAGATACAACCTCATTAAGTTGTCCACTGGGAAGAACTGGCCACATGTAGGTAAGCTTGTTCCAGAGAGGATTTTCAACTCTGGAATGTTTCCACTGGCCTGGCTTATTAGTCCCTTCATGTTTTATGGCCCACCTAAAACAAAATAAGAGACAAAAAGGAATTTAGTAAGATTAAATATCACTTCAAAATATTTTTAAAAATCAGGAAAAATTGGCAATGTCATACCTGACACTGGAATTTGAGGCAAAGTCAAAGTGAACAATTATTTTATAATAACAATGACATAAATAACAATACTAAGAGAAAAAATCAAACAAAACTTTTTAGACATTCAAAGAGAAACTGACATAAACACAATTATTGTGAGAGACATCATTATAAGGCCAACAGATTACCACCAGGTAAATTTTTCTAGGGTAGCAATTAAGGATATGAAATATCTGACTGGTACAACTAATAAATGTAAGTATGTTCATTTATTTATATACATTGTAGCTTACTAACAGAAAATACAGTTTTTCAACAATTCTTTGAACATTAGTATTTGCCACATACTAACAACGTGAAACTCCAATAATATAATTAAAAAAACACATTCTCGGGGCACCAGGGTGGCTCAGTCAAACATCTGCCTTTGGCTCAGGATCAGGTCCTGAGTGGGGCTCCCTGCTCATCAGGGAGCCTGCTTTTCCCTCTCCCCCACTGCTAGTGCTCTCTTTCTCACCCTCTCTCTCAAATAAATAAATAAATAAAAACTTTAAAACAAACAAACAAAACACATTCTCTCTCCCCAAATACTATTATACCATATAAAGAAAAAAATAATATGATCAATAGCTGTTTAGAAAGCAATGAAAATAATCATGAAATCGTATCATCTAGAATTACATTCAAAGGTAAATTCATAATGTTAAGTGCTTTTTTTAAAAACAGCCAAATTGAGGAGAACTAATAAACATTCAAGTCAATTATTTTAAAGTATATATAAAATTGTCCCATGGAAAATAGATGAAAGGAAATAATATTCAAATAGAAATAAATAAATTAGAAAATAGAACATCAGTAGAATGGTTCAAAGAAATGTTTTTGAAATAAAAATAAAATAGCAAATCTCTTGCAAATAAATCTAGATTAATATAATACAAACCAAACAGAAAATTGAGCTAAATATTTGGCATAGAAAAGATTGAAAGAGTGTATTATGCACGTGTAAGTTAATAAATGCAAAAATTCTAATGAAATAAATGATTTTTCTTAAACCTCATAGATTTGAAACAGAAAATAAAGAACATGCCCTTGCTCACATAACTTCACAGGTCATGGAACAGATCATTTTCATGCTATATAAAATATTTTAAACCATAACTATATGGAAAACTAGTTAATTTATTCCGTGAAGGAGAGATAAGCTTCATAATAACGTCTATCACTGGTAATTTAAGAAGTAAGACAGTAATTTTACTTAAAATTAAAGCCATAAAATTCCTTAATCAATATTAGCCAATAAAATTTAACATTATGGCAAGAGAATAATCACTGTATATAGTAAGTCATACTGAGCCTGGAGAAGAAATGATGGACATTTATTAATATAATAAATCATGGATTAATGAGTGAGAATACAAGAAGCAAACCATCACTTATACTTTTTGAGCATATGTGATGGTTACCTGAGCCTAAAAGTTTTCTGAAATAGCCTAGCCCCAATCAGAACCATCTGCAATACTCAATCTCCCATAAGCTTGATGGAAATTCCTGGGGCCTGGGCAGCAAGGGGTGGAGTGGCAGGAAAGACCTGTTCCCTACCAACATGGAACCAGGTGGAATCAAGTTGAGGGCTCTTATAAACCAGGGCATATAGCCCCTGTGTTACCTTTTTCTTCTCTCAATGAAATCATGTTTTAGTTTCCCACAATGCCTCCCAGAGTGTTAGCTACATACTTTAAATACCCAACCACCTGAAATGAAGTCTAAGGAGAAATGGAAAACTCATTCTTTCAGACAACATATTTGAACTATGGGAAAATGAATCAACCTCAGAAGGTGGTAAGCTCCTGCTGTTGCTGGTGAAATGACAGGAATACACATAATTGGTTCACATCAATTTTTATGTTTCTGAATACCTGGCAATCTCCTAAGGATCTGCTTCTATTGCAAACCTCTCTAGTTGTAGTTTTTTTTCATCCACATCTCAAGTTCTCCTGGCCCTGAAGGTGTATGTGGAAGCTCTCTTTCTTGGTCCTTATAACCACTTCCAGACTATTGCTCCTGCATCCTCCTCCAAAGATCTTTGCTTCAAAGCACATTTCAGTAGACCAGAGCACCTATTATCCTTCTTTGCTGCATTCATATCAGTTCTTCTATATCCTTCCCTCCCATTTATTGAAGATTTTACCATCCTGGCTTGTTTTAGTTCTCTCCCCCTCTGCTCCTGTAATCATTCAATGTCTTTTAAACATCTAAGTAGACAATCCCCCCTGGCCTCTCAGTGCCTCTAATGATCTGAACTCCATCTCATATCAGCTACCCTTCCCGTGGACACAGACTCAAACTGGTCATTACAAATAACTGTACCACTTCTAAAATATAAATTGCAAGAAGCCCACCTTCTCACCATCATCTCCCTTTTCTCTAGTTCACACATTTAAGTAGCCCACTCTAACAATTCTTCACTCTACCAGATGCTCCAAACCATTGTTTCTATCACCTTGTCACACTCCATAACTCCCTGCCTGGTCTACTCTTTCCTCTATACTTAGCTAGGATTCATGGTCCAGCATTACAGCCACCCTCTTGTCCTGACTCATTGCCCTACTCTTCCTTCTTTGTAGTCAATTTAAAAAAAAATAGAAATCAATCCTGATCCAATTCTTTACCTACTGTTCAACAGTTAAACAGTGGCTAGAGAAAACACATAAGAAACTATTAATGGAATCATAATAAATCAACAGAGAACAAGGAGAGTGGGAGGCAGTGTGGATATATTACAGAGTGTTTTGAGAATTTGAGTAGCTTTGGGTTCCCACAATGATTGGAGGACATTACTGTCATTTCAACTGGTAGGGAATGAAGAATACCAAATGCCCTTCAAAGTATGGGAAAGTCCTGCACGAAGAAAGTTTGTCCTGCATTCCACAGACTTTCAAATTTCCCTCCAAACATTCATGTTAGGTGGATATGTACTTATCTGAGTCCAAAACCAAACTACATTTTATAATAAACAAAGTATTTTTGCACGGTTATAATACACACCACATTTTCTAGGAGTGCAACAGCCTCAAATATCTCAAAGAAGAAAAATTTGATGCTTCATGTGTCATTTACTCTTTTGGAAAAATTCTATCACTAATGACACTACCATTCATGGTTTTTGAGTCATGAGTATAACACAAATGTATAATTTGGCATTTGTAGTTCACACATGTAGCTGATATGACATACAGGAATAAGAATCTGCAGACTTAATCATATGGTCCAGTATAGCTGTGCTGAAAATTTATACTGAAATGTATATTACTTTTATTTTAAAATTATTTTTCTTTTACTACCATTATTATTACTAGACAGACATTTCTTTAGAAATTATATTGGTGTATAGGTTATCTTAACTATGAATTTGATTTTAGGATAGTAAAGGATCATTACAAAATATTTGTTATACAAAGGGAGCATCAGATACGATACTGCTGACAAGCACTATTTTTAAATGTACTGCCACAAACCTCAAGTGGGCCCTTAGGACTTCTGGGCCATCCCACTGCCTTCCTCCAGCCCAATGATTCCAGGCCTCTGAGAAACACACCATTTCCTTTTCATTAAACCTCCCATACCCTGCCATCCATTGCTCAGTGCTGCTGGAGATCTTATTTCACTGAGAAAACAGCAGTGTTCAAAAGAGACCTTCCCCTTCCTCCCATCAGCAAATCTTCCAGACTCCCTCCCTCTAGACCCCTACACTTTACCTGTCTTCCTGCTACAGTGGAGCAGTCTGTGCTCTAGTCTAAGGCCAAAACTTCTGCTTGTGGCCTAGATCCTTATTCTCTCTCATCGAGGACTTTGTTTCTACACTGCACTATTAATCTTCCTGTCCTCAGAGTCATTCCATCCGCATAATATCTAAGTCAGACATCTTTAAAAAAAGAACTTTCTCTACACCCCACATCCACCTCCAGTTATTGCCTTATTTCTTTGTATTACTTTATAGCAAATTCCTTAAAAGATTCATCTCCTCTTCTTCTCTACTTTTCTCTTAGACCAATTCCAACTGGATTTTCACCTCTGAAACTCCATTAAAACTGCCCCATCAGGATTTTCACATTACCAAAGTTAAAACTCATTTCTTAAGATACATCTGAACAGCAATGTCTAACAAAAGATCATTCTTTCCTTAAGTACTTTCTTCACTTGACTTGACTTCCCTTGACTTCCATGAAATCACATTCTCTTGGTTTTCTTCCATATTTGTAGCCAAAATTGTTACTCTCCTCTTGCTTGCCAGAGGGTGGGAAATAAATCCCATAAAAATCTAGGGCTTGCTACATCAATGGAGTTTTTAGTGTCCATTGGTCTGGTATATGTAAGGATAGTCCTCTAAAATAAAGGTCAAGTTGTTGCATTTTGTACCTCTTACTGCATCAACAACAAAAGACACAACTCTGATGGATCCTTCTGGGTTTAGAAACAACATGTACCACACTTCAAAAATATTGCTGTGACCCTTTTACCAGATATCCCAGAAGGCTGTCAATTTCAACAGGCATTCAGAGCATGACAGGAATCTGAAGCAGTTCCAGGTGGTGGTACAAGCTTCCCTGTCTCCTGGATGGTATGACCTGGCAGATCCAATGGCCCTGGAGGTATCTGAAGTAGTGAGGATGCTGTGTTAAGTCTCTGGTAAGCCCCATACTCTTGTGGCAGTATAGACTCTGGCATTCTATAGCAAGATCTTACTCTGTAATAGGAAACAACTCTGTTCTTGAAAAATAATCCCTGGTGTATTGAAAAGCTTTTTTTGAGACTGAGAACTGGAGCATTGTATCATCAAGTGGCTATGAAATCTGAACCAGGTGATCAACTGAAAGATGGCGGAGGAGTAGAGGACCCTATTTCAACTGGTCCC